TGAGATATCTTAATGAAATTTTCAGGATAGACTTATAGCAAAAGCATTAGAAGAACTACAAAATTTCATCAAGTTATGTTCACTGGTTTTCAAGTTACAGCAGAATATCAGGGTAGTGCACATGGTTCTCTTATTCCAGGCCTGGAGAACTTTCAAAAGGTGCTAGAACTGTGAAATTAACTATGATGATTCCCAGATTGATACTCCAGGGGGTAACAGAGCCCTTTTTTCGAATTTCCTTGCTGAAAAGTTTTAGCAGACCATCAAACTTTGTGTTCGTGATTAGGATATTATCAATCAAATTTTGATTAAATATAATAAATAACACACACAATATATTGAAAAAATGGGCTTGTCACCCCCTCAGAAATTTATTCATGTACATAATAAAAAAAGACTTATGGAAATCCAATGAGTGGTTCCAGAGATATGGCTGGAATAAGCAGCCTCACTAGCCAAAAAAGTCATTTTGAGAAAACGACGTTTGAAAGTTTTGAGCACATAGGCAGTTCTAAAATGAACCTGCAGCGTAACTAGAGGTGTCCTTTGGCACTCTCTTTCTTTGCTGCCTTTCCATCTTCTCTAGGGATCGCTTCTTAGCCTTTTTCAAGTGCAGAGAATCTTTCTCGGCTGCCCGTTGAATAGCCAGGTGGCCAGGTGTTAGCCCCACTGATGAAGCTAGCTCTTCTCTTGGGTGGCCCTGTAGCAGCCAGCATTGTATCTTAGCACTGCATCATGCAGTGCTGTCTCCACAGCAATCAGTGACGCATGCTGCTCTTTGGGCATGAGGGACCACAGCACAGAGTGAAAGGACTCTGATGCATTCTGCGTCTTTGCTCCCAGGCAGCGTTGCAGAAGAGAAGCCTATGAGAGCCTCTCATAAATGGGTAGAAGTGCATCTGCAACATAGCGTGGCAGCTTGTACGAATGCTTCGGAGATGGAACACCGGTAATCTTGCTGGCATTGTGACGACACCAGGAGTCTGCACCCTCTGGGCACCAGTCGTGGTGCGTCTCCTCATCCGTCGACGTCACATGGTGGTACGATGCCATCACTGCCCGCCGCATTGCAGCCACATCATCGGAATTGTTCCGTAGGGCCCAGCCATAATAATCTGTCAACTTGTCGATGAGGGCCTTTGTCAGCCTGCCCTTCCCTCCCAAAGCCTTGTCACTTTTCTGCACAAGGTTGCGAAGTGCAGTCCCCATCCTCTTCTGAACGTGGTTCAGGCATTCCTCTTTTGAAATGGGGACCAGTCCATAAACATTTTCTTGTACAAGGGCAGAGAAGGTGGCACTATCTCCATCAGACACGAGCGTTGTGTAACGGAGGTTGTGCTTCGACAGTGAGCGTGAAAAGAGGATGATAGCTGCCTCAACCTCCATTCTCCCTGATTTAGAGTCGGTGTTTTTCTGGCACACATGATTCTCCAGCCAGCATGCATAGTCTGCGTCTCCAGGCTTTGGCCCTACTTGGCAACCAAGGCACTGATTAGACAGAACAACGGCGTCCAAGATAAGGCCCGTATGGTATTCGATAATTGCCCCGACTCCAATATGGGATGTGTGCCCACGCTTGTGCCATGTTCCATCATAACAAACTGTCATATCCCTGGTGAAATATTGATCCATTTCTTTGTAAGTGGCTTTTACAGTAGAAGCAGATTCTGCATAGAAATTTTCTATGCATTGTGTCTGCGGTTCCCTGAATTTCTTCAGGTGCTTCTGAAAGGTCTTGTGATGGAGGCCACGATGGGACACGTTCATCGCTGCCCAAAAGTCGTTGAGAGCAGTTTGTCCCTTGCCTATTTGTTTTGTTGCCATAATGGCTGTTACATTCACATTAAAGGCCTTTGTGTCATCCTGACGAGATGAACTCGATGAGCTTGAAACTACTCCACAATGCAAGCATACTAGCTCAAGCTTTGCAGCAAGTCCAAGTTGGGTGCCTCCTCGTACCTTCATCCCAATCGCGGTGCACCGGTGGCACGGGGTCCGATATAGCAGGTCGTCTAGGGCATCCATTTGCACAAGGAAAAATTTTTCACCTTCACTTGTAGCGGTGGCAGCTTCATGATCGCGCTCCATTGCCTGAAATTTCCGCTCCGTCGCTGGCATAGCGCCAAGTTCTCTTTGCACAGCAGCGCGTTGTTGATCCGCCGCCTCTTTCTCCTCGCACGTCAGAAAACTTGTTCGCAAATGCACAGTTGACGACGCGATCGCACTCGAGGCCGATGAAAGAGAAGATGCGGAAGCCACTGTCGATGAACACGAGACACCAGGCGCACTTGTAACGACAAATTCTTGCACCGGCGGAGCAGGAGTCCCGTTGCTAGGCGCGTTGATGCGACCACTCTCTTGCGTAGATGAAGCAGAAGCTGCCCCACAGGTACCGTCGGCGCGATCACCGTCGGCGCACGTGCGAGCGGAGAGCCTGGCCGTGCGGACAAGCTTCATAGCTCGCTTCCTTGCACCGAACGATTGTAGCGTCTTCTTTTTCGTTGGGCGCATCGTGAGCGAACACAACAACGGTCTCGTATAGACGGTTGAAAATCGTCTCGTAAAGACGGTTGAAAATCGTTTCAAAGTCACTTAAAACGTGGAGAGTATGCGAACGGCTGCAACGATACACGGAAGCGAGCGGAACACAAAGACGCTGGACGGAGGAGCAGCAGACGAGCGGCCGCATCGACCGCATTATGCGCAAGAGCGCTACGTCATCGCGCGCAGCAGCCAATGGCAGTCGCGGGCTCCCCCGCGTCCTTGCGGAGCGCGCGCTTCGCCCAATCCCAGCTGCGCACCTCAGCCGCGGGAAACTTGAAAGCTCTCGCGAGCCCTCCAATCATGAGCGGCTTCCTCCTCTCCTGCGCTGCCGTTGGCGACGCAGGTGGCGGGGAAAGAAAGAGCAAGATTTCACAAACAAAACAACACCAAAATGGCGGCGCTCCGTCGAGCAGTCGAGAAACTGCGATCACGCCAAGTTGGGGTATTTTGAGCGCTCGCGCGCCGCTCGAGGGCCGCCGCGGCATGTTCTAAACTTTATTTCAAATGGTTTCGCGACGAATTAGACGTTGATATTTACAGAAAAGGTAGTTTATGACACATACTGCCCGAATATGTGGTTTGCCAAAAATCGACTTTTTCGCGAATTTTTCGGTTTTCAAAGGCCGCGTCCCCCTTAAGTTGGCATCAAGTGCACATGGCACCGCACGGAAGTGTCTGACATTGAAGCAGAAAGTTCAACTGATACTTGAGGTGAAAAAAGCTGGCGAAAGTCTGAAATCTCATGACAATTCGGAATATACCGCCGTCAACATTTTCAACTGTTCTGAAGAATAAGGATGCCATTCTGGGCGGCTTCAAGAAGGCTCTCAGCCAAACGAAAGCGCAACCGTGATGATTCTAAGCATCCTGAAGTGGAAGGAGCGCTTCTCGAATGATTGAAAAATGATAGAAGTGCGAACATCCCGTGAATGGGCCTGCATTGACCGCAATAGTCAAAGCCTTAGCTGCCTAAACGGCAAGCAAGATTTTACGAGCAGCAACGGCTGGCTTGAACGTTCCAAGAGATGACAGAGCATGTCTTCAATATCTACCGTTGGTGAAAGTGCAGCCGTGGACCGCGGTGTCGTGGAGGGATCGCGCAAGCATTGGCTGAGCACCCTACTTCAGCAGTATGGAGATATAGAAACATTTATAACATGGACGAGGCAACATTCTTTTACAAACTGTTGCCGAAGTGTACGTGCACTACACCGGGCGGAAGCTCATCAGGATGTAAACAAAGCAAAGAACATATTACAGTGCTGTTCGGTGCTAACACGACGGGGGCGACAAGCTTCCTTTGCTTATAGTGGGGAAGGCGACAAGTGCCCCAGTTGACTAGCCGGCAGAAATAGTCGGCTTGCTTTGAAGCCCCGACGAGAGAGATGAGCCGCTAGAGGAACAGCTTAGCGAAATACTAACAGTGACACAAGCAAAGGAGAGCCTGCGTCTGTTGCGAAATAGAGTTCATAATTAGCCTGAACAAACTGGAGCAGGCACTCCTCGCATCCAGCCAAAGCACCCGACAAAACCAGCTGACCGACTTGTTTTTTGCATGAACAAATTTTGTTTCACTAAATACCACTTCAGAGAAGTTATCACGGCTAATTTAGCTGTACTTGTTGAGCTTCTATGGAGCAGTTGCGTATATCGAATTACCGCTTGTACTAAATTTTTTCGCAGTCTCACTGACTTCATTAAAACAAGGTTTTACTGCATGCAACTGTTTCAGTATGATCGCGCAGGCACCCGTGGACAGGTCGTGGCTTCCCGCGGGGATCCCTGTAACAATCGAGCATGCCATGTTGAAATCAGCAAATGGCTGAAAGAAGGCCTTCTACGAGAGAATTTTGAGCTTCCTCTGTCAGGGGGGTCGGCATAGTAAGAAAAAACGGAATAGATACAATGGGTGAGGAGTTGAAGTGTCGGTTAGCAGGACTGCCAGGGATGAATATACGGCGTGCGTTTATTACACGGGAAAAATAAATCCAAATTTTCATGACTGAAGCTGAGAGTGTATTAATTATGTGAGTGCGTTCATTACACGAGTACACACGTTATTATTAAACATGACTCTGACACTCCCAGCAGAAGCGCGGTGCTTTTATTGGTCGTACTCAGCTTATAGCACGCCGGGAAAACTCAGCGCCGTGGCTGCGCGGACTGTCACTATCAGTGGGCGAGGCTTGGTGGTGGCTGCTCCTCAGATGCGTGGCTAGAAGTTAAATGGAGATTGTGCGAACCTGTAGCTTTTTTTTTTTTGTAGACACCTGACATTTTGCCTCAAGCTTCGGGAGCTTCTCTTTTGAAAGCAAAAGGCTTTCGCCTTGGTCATCTTGGATGAATGCTTAAGGGACCCCTAGTTTTGGTTGATGACCGTATTCTGATCTTGTGAAATCCACCCTGAGAGAGACACAAAAGCACCCAACTCAAACCTTCAGTTGCAGCACCCTCACCTCAAGCACCTTGGCAATGATCCTCAAGTCCAGACCAGCCAGCAGTGCAGCCACATCAGGGCAGCAGTCCTGTTTGTCCTCCAAAACGTGGACAATGCTGTCGAGCCTGGAAAAAAAAAAAGAACTATAAGGTTTCCCCAATCTTCTTAGAGAAAAAAAAAAATGGCACTGCGATGCTGTTGTATGCATGGTAGACTTCAGCAAATGTTCGAACAAATATTAACGTATTTGAATTCATTTCAACTGTAATTTAAAGAATTAGAAATTTCAAAGTCGAAATGAATGAATACAGTCGATCCTGGATATATCAAATTATTGGCGATATCAAACAGTTGAAAAATCCCCTTAAGAAACCCATGCAAAAGTATGGGACCAGTGCACCCGTATATCGAACTCCTGCACAGTGGTACATCTGCTATACCGAGCGCTGTGCCACGCCAAGACTCAGAAAATTAATTTTTCCTAACAAATATTGATCAAGTTTCAGCGGCGTTCTCACAAGTTTCAATCCCTTTTCGAGCGCAAGTGACGAAAAGACGGCATCATTCCATTACGCTGATCTGGTTCGTTGTAACACACTTGGGAGTGCACAGCTAGTGCACTGGTATGTTTAATGCATGATCTGCAGGTCTCATTGCGTGAGCATAGTGTTTTTTTAAAAAGACCTATTGCCCAGAACACCAAAATGAGAATTCGAAGTGACTCAGCGATCTTGTTGCAATGTTCGCATCCCCTTGTATGTTTGCACTCAATGGCATGACAGTCTGAAAAGCATGGCCTTCAGATGTGAAACCTCGCGATGCATTTTTAGTGTTTTCGGTTTTAAAGTGCGCGCCTCAAAGGCAGGACTGATTTTTACACAAGAACTGTCACAATGCAATTCCCTGGCAATATTTTCCTTGCGCCGAAAAAGGGGTGATGCTATACGACTCTTGCCAATCAAAAATAGTCAAGCGGGGTATAGCTATGCTCTGCCTGGGATCAACTCTTGAAAAATCGTGCACGCACATGATGCAGGCATCATTCGAAAACCAGATCCAGCGACTTGAAGCTACGAATTTCCTTGACTCCTTATTGACAGCTGCCTCCGAAGCACTTTTGCGGAAAGCGAAGAGTGAAGGTAGCAGAGCTGCCATAGGAGAACAAGAAACTGTTATCGTATTACCTGCAGCGATTCCTTATGCTCATAAGGTCTCCCACAACCTGAAAAAGATAGCAGGCCGGTATGGGGTACGTGTCATTGTTTCACGCCCGTAACACTGGCTCAGCTGTGCCGGAGAACTGCTCAGGGTGTGGAGGCGAGCCGCCACGAATGCGGCAAGAAACATGGCACGACGTACGAGAAATGTTCCAAAGGTGTGGTTTATAAAATTCCCCTTTCTTGTGGCAACTCGTACATCGGGACCACCGAATGGTGTATTAATAAACGTGTTAGGGAGCATGAATTAAATCTAATGAAGGATGGCTTGGCGCATTTGCCTACGCATGGCAAAGTCAGCGGGTGTGTACCAAATACGCGTGTGTACCAAGTAGGAATAAAACTGCCCGTGAGTTGATGAAAGCCTATTAAATTATAAATAAGGTGAAGGGTGTATCAGTGACGCGTCGGTGATGTGCTTACCGGAGAAGAGATTGATAGCTGGATAGCGTAAGGCTGTGTTAAGACTGCGCATGTCTGTATGTCGTTATTTAAGTGTAGGTTTGCACTCTGTCTACTTTAGTTGGAAGTGCTGCTAGTGCTTGTCGTTGTGTGTGCCTTTACTTTGTGTTTGTGTTATTTGCCGCCAAAGGATGTCATTAAAAGAGTACCAACTAGGCCAACAATCACCATTGTCAAGGCCTTAACTGTAGCAGTGTTGCAACGCAGTGCAAAAGTGCTAGCACCTTTCGGAGAGGCCCGCTAGACAGGTTCTTCAACTTGAAGTAAATCTGATGCGGTTCGTCGAACAGGCTCTGTATTCATGAGCAAAGCGCAGCTATTTCCACTGTTTTGCAGTGATATCTTTTATGCTGATGAAAATGAGGTGGCCAGCAGCCTTTCGCCTTCTGCGAAGCAACACGATGCGACGTCAGAATCAAGAAACTTCAGTACAGCGCCAAGCAAAACCATAGCGAAAGTGCCGCATTGACTCTGCTAGTCGCAGCCATTGTTTTTTACCAGCTTTGCCAGCATACTGAGAATTTTCTGGAGTTGCGAACACGCTTAAATCCGCACTGGTGCGAAACCCCACTTCAAGGTTAAACGAACATACAGTCGAGCCCGCTTATAACGAACCTGAGCGTGACGCGGCATCCGTTCCCTGTATCCCGAAGTTCGTAGTAAATGAAACACAGCTTTTAACAAAGTTGCGAGTGAAAACACAAATTTTTTGCCCCAAAAAGTCTGTGATGCACGTGTTTCGAAGAACAGAAGCGATAAGGGCCGTCTCGAGTTCATTTAAAACAGCAGAGTGCTCGTTCGCTGAGGCCCGTGGCATGAGCTGCACGAGGCAATGGCTCCAAAGGTTCGTCGTTCTCGCAGTCTGATTCCACCGAATCGTTCTGGCCACGTACTTCATTCACAATGCCCCAATCCGTGCACCGTACTGCAGTGTCGGCATCATCATCAGCCGTAATAAACCATCGCAACAGATGTCCCACCAGCTTTCCCAGGTCGGAGTCGACGACGCGTGGCCACTAATCGCCGCCCAGTTTCTGAGGCTTCAGGCTCGGCATCGGGCCCGACGTCGACGAAGTCGGCCTCGCAAAAACAGTCTCCCACGCATGTAGTCGTCACCGCCGCCCACGAAATATTCACCATCTCCACAGCTGATTACCGGTACTCCCAAAGCGGCAAGTTGGCTGCCAGGCTGCCAGGGAGTCAACAGCTATGAGCAAGCGCTCCCCAACGCGGCACCTAACGCGCTGACTACACTCAAGCCAAGCGGTCACACTTTCGACGTTTTGTTGAGCAGCACGAAAAAGCGTGCTAGTCCTCCCCTCGGCCATCATGACCACACACGCACACCAAGAGCGCGCAACACGGGCACACGCGCTACACATGCCAGAGCGCGTGGAATAGCTCTGGGCCCGTCTCCAGTCAGAAAACAAAACTAATTCGAGCCAGTGTGGCGGGGGTCGCGGAGCGGTGGAGACGACCGAAGGGGCTGTGATCAAGAGAGGTGAGCAGACTTTCGAGAGAAGGGCAAGGTGTTGCGATACAGAGAGGGGAGATAGGATGCGGCAGCAGGACAACCTTGAAAACCAAAACACATGGGAAGGAGGCAGGTTGGGTAGCTTGCTTGAAAGGCTCGCGAAACGCGCGTGTAGAAAAACTTGGAAAGAGTGCATGGCCGCCTGAATTGGTGTGAGCGACGGTGTTCAAAGAATCGGCGGCCGTGGTGAAAAAATCGATTCGTTGCGCCGGCGGGTTTGCGTGACCTCACAAACTTCGATATTTCACGATTCGTTCCGCGCAAATTAACAGCCGTTTTCGCGCTTCCGCACGCGCGCGGAAGGCATGCTGAGTTGAGTGCGAAGTGAGCGAGAACAGGTCCTAAATACGAAACGAATCGCAAATTATTAGAGTTGCTGGGGTAGCGCACGTGCGTGCACTAGACGCAGACTATCGGATACAGTTGGTGGCCGACGAAGTTGGCAAATGGTCTGGTCACTCCAGGCCGGCGATGCCAACGACAGTACCAACGATCAAAAACAGGCCGGTCTTCGAAACGATCAAAAGCCGACCGGTCTTCGAAAGATCAGTGGCAGTGTGAAAACACGGGCCTCGTCTGGCGATGCGGGGTGCTCAGAGTAACAGGGGGACAAAGGACGGAGGGGTGCGTAACAAAAAGCAGTCGGGGCATGGAGGAAGGAAACAACTTTCCTTTCTCCATGGGTTGGGGAGAGCGGCAACTAGAGGGTCACGGAAGCAGGGTCGGCGTTTAACAAAAAGAATGTAAGGGCACCTCGCCGATGCCTGGTCGGTGGCCGAAATCGGTTTCCCGGGAAGTTGGCAGACCGCTGACTCCGTTTGCTGTAACCGATCAGTGGCGCTCGGAGACGTTCGTTGTAAGTGCGATTTTGTGCCATTGAAGTAATGTATATTTTCACGGTCACGCGGATATTGTTCGTTTTATGCAAAAGTTCGTTTTACGTGAGGCCCTTATATGTGGGCTCTACTGCATTACCCTGACACAGATTATTCCTTTTCTAAGTTGAAAATCTTGTTATGGCGGCTTATATACTCCAAGTACAGTAAACTATTTTACAGGTTATCGCTAGCATTCTACGGATAGTCAAATCCTGGTGCTTCTCTAAGTTGCTTCCACTTCCCATGAAGAGAAACAAAATAGACAAAAAAATATGAAAAAGAATTCTGGGCATGTAGCTGGAACATCATGAGGCAAGCATCAAATGTAGAATTGTATTTGCCGGAAAGTATATTGAAGCAATCAAATTCAAGATTAGCACATTAATGGGTGCACTATCGAATGCCTATTGTGCTGCAAATAACTCCATAATGAACATTTACCAACTTGCCCAAGCTTCAGTTCTTCCCAACTGTGATATTAGTTGAAATATTGGAAACGCTAAAGTTATTCACACATGCCCATTTGCAACCCAACACCGCAGCTATTGGGTCACCCTGGCTGGTCTACTGCACCTCATGTTTTTTTCATGACCAGAAAACTATTTTCAGTGCGGTACATTCCTTCCCCAGAGTATGTTAAAGTGACACTAGAAGCAAATATTAAGTCGATATTTAAAGTTGAAATAGTGATGCAGAAACCTCGTAGTGCTACTTTTATGTGAAAGAAGTGCTTACCGTATTTCCTCGCGTAATGAACAAACTTTTTTTCTAGAAAAAACGCAGCAATGTTGGGGGTCAGTTTATAATGTAGGGCAAGTTTTATGAACTATTTTTTCGGATGAGCAAAAAATGCGGTAATTATTGAAAAAAAAAAAAAAACGAAATTAGGTCGCTTAGCCTTTCACAATTGACATACACATACAATGTTTAGAAACAGCCTCTTTGTCGCACTTCACCCATCTTCGGTGGTTGATGGCACAATCTTTTGCAAGCTGTCCTTGCGCTGCCTGCGCACGCCATACAAGCATTTTGCAGCTATCTTTTCTCGCAATTAGTGGCATTTGCTGTGATCTTGAGGAGCGCCCAGACGTGTGTGCTATGACACACTTTATCAACTTCACGTCAAATTCGAACAGCGACAGCGACGATGTTGTTTATATTGTTGTAGCAAGTAACCAATATTGCAGCTAGCTGCCACCGAAGGATCAAAACAAACTGTCAATAACAAGATTAACAACAAAATACAGCCGATACCTCATTATCCACATGAGAAGTTACTGTAAAAAAGGTAGCCTCTATCTTGCGTTCCTTGAACTATGCGCGGATAACAAGCACAAAGCGGAAATTGCAACCAAAGTTGAGAATCGGGGGAGGAGGGGGGCTGCTGCCATGTTGCAGAAATCGTTACACTCTTTTCTGGGTGACATACGCAATTTTTTTTTGGTTTTCCAGAAACCTGCAACGAGATGGCAATGAAGAGCCCTTGGCAACCGCCATGGCGACAGCAAATGTTGTCATCGTCGCTCGAAAATTGCGTGCATGTGATTGGGCCTTAATGTTTCGAATTTGCAGGAAGCGGCCGTCGGTTATCGAGTGCAGTTTTCTGAACATCGCTCCCAGTGTGCTTATGAGCTGTGATGTCTACATTCGCACTGTTTGTGAGCCCTGCTGTGGCACATAGATGATTATAAAGAACTAGGGGTGTGTCACGCACACATTAAAAAAAAAAAAAATGCCGTGCGCCGCAGTGGGTGAAGAGCAGGAGGGAGCGAGCCGAGGTGGCTGAGGGGGGTTGGCATAATAATAAAAAATGAAAGAGACCCAATGGGGAAGGAGGTGCCATGTGTCAGCAGGACTAGGGCCCGTATTCACAAACCAACCTCGACTTTACCTCAAGTTTTCCTCATCGGTTTGCGGCCGCTATTGTGCTTGCTAAACAAAGTAGGCTAGTACACATGAACCGATCTCGTTGGCATATTTTACCCTGTTAACGTTTCTGTGCCCCTATAACGCACGTAGAGAATACAGCAACTTGAATATGTGAGGAAAGGCCAAGGTTGGTTTGTGATACGGGCCTACAGCGGATGAATGTAGGGGGTGCGTTTATTAGGCGGGTAAAAAAGAAATCAAATTCTGAGGACAGAAGTTGGGGTTGCATTTATTATGCGAGTGCATTCATTGTTCAAGTAAATATAGTATTTTCAAATAAAATCACTTTTCTAGTGGCCCACATCACATAGCACACTTTGAATCACCCGCCCAAAAGCAGTCTTTTTGACATCACTACCACGGTACCCATCGTTGCCCGCCTTCACTGTGCGGCTAATGACACTAGCAGCAGCAGAGCTAAAGTAGAGAGAGCCACAGCAGCAACAAGGGCCACTGAACAATTTTCTGCTTGCTTGGTTCAATTGGGCCTCGCTAAATGGCACCACCTACCAAGCTTAACCAGGTGAAAACAAAATTTTTTAACCATTTGCACCATTCCCTATAGTAACGCCCGGCAGTCAAAAGTAAAGAGACAAACAGCATTTTACGACATCTTCTAATGCATGTAAGGTTCTCTTTCTTTGCTGTAGCTTGTTTGATTACCAGTGATCAATTGTAGCGGGACGCTCTAACTTGACTGAGATCATTAAAAAAATTACAACTTGTGGCGCATGTGGTGTCGCACACATACCTTAATTTCTGAATTAGTAGAGCACTGCTGTTGATAATTTTGATGTTTTAGACATTCCCCAACATTGATATATCACTCTGACATTATTTTTATTTGGCTTTGGTGCTTTAGGCAGTGCTTAAAACAACCTCAAAGGTGCTCTGCAGAGGGGAAGGGGGCAAAATAAGTTGCGCCAAAAAGGACGAGTGAAACTCACGTGCTCCTTTGTTTCTCCTGCTCCAACTTCAGCTCTCTCACTTCATCCTGCAAAATTGCACATGACCAGTTGTTAAACCCTGCTGCCTTCGACAATCTCAAATGCAGATGCTTTGGAATACAGTCCACTCTCGGTAAATGAATATCTTTTAAATTGAACAGCTTCAAGGGGAGACATGGCATTTAAAACTTTTTTCATTCTTTGATGGCTTTTAATCAACGTATACTTGTGTGCTTATCAAGCACAAGTGACGGGATGTTATTACTTGCAGTGGTTTTCTAAACATCCTCTTCAAGATGTTCAAGATATTTATTTGTTTTATTTATTACATGTACATCGTGGGAGATTAATTACACACTCAAAACTGCAATAAAATATCACATAGCATCAATGTCAAAACCATCGAACTAGCAGTTAAAATCACCCGAAGTGATCACATACATAATATAAAATCTAGTTTTATCTACACTACAAACATAATTAACATGATTGAATCATCACATTGTCACAAACAGTACATTCAAGGGACGGGACAGCATAATATTTAATTGTCATTGTGTGGATGCTGAAAAGAAAATCACCGAAAGCAGTAGCGCAGCATTATATCGTAGCAGGGCACAACATTGACAGCCTGAAGCTTTAATCCCTCAAACTTCCGATCCCCGTAGACACAGAAAATAAACACAGTCATACTATATTCACAAGTTCCATATACTTCGGCCAGCAAACACAGTAGAATCTCAATGATACAAATTCGAAAGGTGATTTCTATGAACCAAGCACAAATCAAAGCTGATCATGAAGAGGAACAAGAACTTAATTGGGGCTAACTACTTGTTGCTGAAAAAAATATCCTCGATGTTCTTTTGAACTTTCCTGATTTCACCGCCTTTAAATACAGTGCCGCAGTTTCCTGACTCATGCTGCTGGCACTGAAGTGCAGTTCACACTAGGCATTAAGGGAGGGAAAGCGGAAAAACTTATTGGAAACTCACTCGCTTCTCCGCCAGGAAAACACGGCGCGATGTCAACAGGAAAAAAAAAAAATGAGTCCTGGAGAATTCAAATGGGAGAATTCAAGCGAAAACACCAGAGTGGCCGCAAGATCTCGTCATGCCAGACTAAAATGTTGACATTCGTTCTGACCCTCGTATACATGCAACCGCCGCCGACTTCGCCGCATCGGATTTCATCCCAATTGGCCCATTTCCAGAGCATTGAAACTTGTACAGAGTTCTAGTTCTCCATGCAAGTTTACACCTGTACGAACAGCAGCGCCAAAACAAAGAACGTTAGCTAAGGAATGCAGACTTGCTGCTGCTCTACCTTCTACTTTGGGTGTTCACAGTGATTGTAATCCAAAGCAGGCTCTCGATGAACGCGTCCTTGTCAAGGCCGTGATCTGCCTTGCTGCACTGGTAGTTCGCGATTGCGCCGACACGAGCCTCCGCCGACGCATCTTCCGCCATCTTCAATTTCCGGCTCGTTGTTTAACATCACGTGGTTTGAGAGCTAGTGCAGCTGGTGTTTCGTTCAGTGGTGCAGCCAAAGCCGTAAAGCAAGAGGGCGGTCTGCTATCACGTGGTGGAAAATTGGTTTCGAACCGACTTTTTCGCGTCGACCTCACGGAATAGTTTTCCAGCCACTTGGGCAGCAAAGCAAGAAAAATTCCTAGGAGTTTTTCCACGTCCCTCCCTTCGAGGTCAAGTGTGAACGGGCCTCCCTCCCACGGACAAGCCGCGTTTGCATTATTCACGGCGGCTGGGAAAACTATTCGTATAACATCGAATCACGGCTTGCTTTACATAATGTAGTCCATCCGAAGCAACCTTAAAATACGTATAATCGCAAAATTCGCATCAACCATAATCATATCATTGAGATTATACTGTAAAATAGTTTGTAACTGCCCGAGACCTAGCTATGGGAAGTTTGTCTAATATATCGTATTTACTCTCATAATGAACCCATTCGAATAATGAACCAAGCCTCCACCTTGGTCCTCGGAAAAAAAAATTTCCTTTCGTTCACATTATTTCGGTATGATATCTAGTGCCATTGACTATCAAAACAATGTTAAATCAAGCCATTATATCACAACGTAACAACGTGATAAAAGTCAAAACATAGTTTTGCAACCATGCTAAACAGTTGCAGCGCGATCACGGACCACGTCAATCGAAATTTTAAAGTCACGCCTTTTGCGGCAAAGCGCCATCTGTCGATGCAGGAGAAACCCTTTTGCTGATAGCGCCACACAAGCACAGAAACAAAAAAAATTCCGCCATATCCACGAAGTGAATGATGATGAGTGGGCGAAGCTCCGGAGGTAAACCTGGTAAACCATGAATCCTCTGTACATTTTGCCCACTCGATTTTATTACATCGCTCCCCCTAGCGTACGTCGCCGCACTAAATCGAACGATTGCCTTCAACCAATGACACGCGCCATATGTGACATCATTCCTATTTTATAAGATCTCGCGTCTTTCATCAACTACAAGTACCGCTTTATAGTTTATAACATCTTGCATCTTTTCATCATCAGCTACAAGTACCACCACCTAGTAAACACTACAAGAACTAAACGAGAGGTGGCTACATACAGGAGAAGGTACCGCCATTTAGTGAACACTGCAAGAACTAAACTAGAGGTGGCTACATACAGGGGACGGTACCGCCATCTAGTGAACACTGCAAGAACTAAACTAGAGGTGGCTACATACAGGAGACGGTACCGCCATCTAGTGAACACTGCAAGAACTAAACTAGAGGTGGCTACATACAGGGGACGGTACCGCCATCTAGTGAACACTGCAAGAACTAAACTAGAGGTGGCTACATACAGGCTACAGGGGACGCACAGCCCACGCCCTAAGGAGCTTCGCCCCTAAAAAAAGCAATAGACAAAATGTGTGGCCTCCGAAATAGCTGGCGCGCAGCGTACACGGTGGCGGCGCAGAAACACGTCGCACGCCCACCATCTCGGAAGGCTGTGCAAAGCGCAACTGCACCTACTGCGCCGCCAGCCCGCCGTGCAACCTCGTCTACCGCAACTTTAGTGCGCCGCCATCCGACGATGCGTTTTTGTTCTCCGGTTTGTCGTTGTGAACTTAGTAAGAACACCTGCTGCGCAGGACGCATTCTGCCGGTACGCTAGCTACACGGCTGGTTGAAAACAGCATGTGCTGGAGCACGGGAACCGAGCGGCTGGACGACTTTTCGGCGTCGATCCTTGCGCTTTCGTTACAAGAGGAAACAATAAGAGCTTTGGGCTACAAAAAAAATTCGTCACGCATTTCACGAGCCAGAACAAGCAAAGCCACCTTGCGAAATTTTTTTGTTATAACTCCTGCGACTTTTTTCTCCCGTTTAGTGAACCCTCCCCCCAAAAATTGGTCTCAACTTTTCTGAAAAAAAAAAAAAATAGGTGGGTTCATTAGGCGAGTAAATACAGTATTGGACAATAAACTATAGTACGCAATGACTTTAGAGAAACTTGCTTCCTCCTTTGAAGTACTTCTTTAGCTGCTACTGGGATCTCACATAGTGAATACTAATGACCAAAGTCGCTGGGTTTCTCACTTTTCGAGAAATGTTGGAAATGATGACACTGAGCACCAATGACTTACAGCAGCTCCCTAGAAAGTGGGCAAATTTTAATACGACCTCTTCTATGTGTTAATGAGTACTTACGTCATTTATTTATGTTTGTAAGAACTACAAAAGCATAAAACAAAGATTTTGGGTACCCCATACCTTCTGTTCTCGAAGAAGCCTCTCTAAGGTTCCAATGTTGAATATTCTAGAGTTCCAACGTTGAATATATTGGACAACATACTGTGGCCAAGTAACACAAAATACAGAAAAACTATATGACTCTGGACCTTTGCATTCGGAAGAAGTTTATCAATGACCCTAAATTCCCTCAGAGTCTCTGGAGGCTAAGGGGACTTATTCGGAATGCGCTGGCCTTCTTCCTGTGCCAGGGTAGATGACTCTATCTCCTAATACCTTATCTACTCTTCTGCTCACTATTTCTCTCTCTCTATCCCATCCAAGCCTATTCGCCCTCCCCACAAGACGCTTAGATGTGTCCCCGATACGGGAGACAGAAAGAAGCATCTTTTCTTTCCTCTTTTCTTTAATAAATAGTCACATATATCTATTCAACATGCTAGATACACAACGAACCCCTATGAGAGTTAAGCCTTCTTTCTAGGACTTTAAAACCTCAACCATTGTTCAGTGGTGCTTCTTCCGACAACTGTAACTAACCCCCTCTCTCGCTTCTTTCTTTTGTTTATATTCACTGGATACCTCTTTCCTTCTGCTTGCACGAAACGTCGTGGCAGCCCCATCTCGCAACCCCACATCCGAAATTACCCCCTCTCTCACCTCTGCTCAGGTTGGAGGAGAGGGTACGAAGTGAACGTACACTAGTGTGAATGAAATTAGTTCTAGCCTAGATGAAAAGTCTTGTCGAAATGTTGCCTGAAGCACACAACACCAGTTTACAGATTTTTTTTCACTGCAAGATAGCGCTATCGAATTTATGACGTCACGTGTGGATTAAATTTCGGTGTAAAACTGGACTCTATTTTCTGTTCTGAAAGGTAGTGGTGAAATTACCAAATCTTTTCAGACTAATTAACCAGTCTACACTGATTCGCCCTCACACTTTAGCATCAATTTAATGTCTGCCACAGAGCAACCGTGACCCCTCTCCTCACATCCTGAATGTGGTTACCGACACTTACCTCACTCACGCTGCTCTGAACAGTTGGCCGCTCATTGCCACGTAAGCTGGCCGCAAGAGTCGGGGCGAGGCGTTTCAATTCCGTTTCCACGAGAACGCGAATACGCTCTTCCGAGAGCGACACCTGCTCCACTGATTGAGACTGTTCGAGCTTTGCAGAGGTCCCCGAGGACTGTGACGAAACACCTGCAGAGGGCCTTGACAGCCACGCTGGCGGGAAACAGGACACCATGGTGGCCGCCACTGCGTTCAACGTCTCCACTGCCACCTTGGTAGAAATAGAAACCACAATGAGGCAGAATTCGTAACTGGGCAAAACACTGCCAAAAAAAGCCTCGAGCAAATGTTTAAAAAAAGGAGGAACACATCTTTGTTCCCTTGAAGAGGTGTTTGCTCCAGCTATATTATTTTGTTCAACAACTTCTCCCTGCTAGCCACCATCCCACATTGAATTTTCTTTCCTCGTGGAAGCACCGAAGGCCTAGTGACATCACCAGTTTACAATTTTCATGGCTTGATAAATATCTGTGTTCAACTAAGTGGTGTACGAGCGTTTATCATGCTGTAGGGTTTTTTTTTTTTTTATGCCGGCTCAGCTCACATTCGAAATGCAGTAGACACCCATTAATTTTCACATAGAACCCGAAGGGACCAGAATAATACATATTCTGTTTAACAGGAGTTGAATTTGGAGAATACAGTGTTAACCGAGTATCAATACAGTATTGATCAATGAAACCAATCATACATCAGGCAGTTGGTTCCATTTAGGCAGCAGTTCCATTCAATGTATGGTCCCTAAATTTTGGGGGCTGGCCTAGAATCAGGGGTCAATTTAAATAGGAGTAAATGTGGTATGCAGACACCGTGCCAGGCGGAGCTATGCTGGAAAGGGGCGAAAAACTCACCCCATAGACCTGGCTGCCAGCCGAGGCCAACATAGTCTGCACTGAGGGCAAGGAAACTCCATTCTCTTCATAGAAGAACCAGGCCAAAAGGGGGATCAAGACGAGCGCAAGGATCCACACTGCTAGGCGCTTGCGGCGCTGTGGTGTCATTCTGAAGAAGGAGAACAGGATACACAGTCACTTAGAGTACAATTAAAACTGGATATGTATACAACTTGAAGGTCATTACAAAACAGTCCGAGAGAGATAATCCAAAAGATAAACGGCTATGTCCACCCGAAGCGTGAAACACCTCATGTCTCAAGGAAATTATGAGGTCACCATGGGACTTGCAGGGGTGCAATAGCCGAAATAAACAAAATTCGAAGCTATTTTTTAGAGCATAAAAACGTAACTTTTGGAGCACTAAAATCCAAATTTGCAGCAGATTACGGGAAACAAAACGTTATTTTAATCACGAAAGATCAAATTAGGAGCAGTACAAAATGAAGACTTGCATTTAGAAAAAAAAATATATACAAACCATGACCACTGCTACTTAAATAAAAGTGGTATATTGAACCACTCAATTCGGCAAACAATGATAAAGTACCCATTAGCATTTTGCACAACTGTAAAATCTTTTGATGGACTCTGAAGATTCAGCCATGAATCTGCCAAGCTGGTGACCTTGAGATTCATAAAGCTGAAGAGTAGGGGTGGTGAAAAAACAAAACAAAACTGGCACACAGTTTTGTTTGATTTTTTAGAGCAGCAAGAATGTCACACACTTCTCTTAGATGATTGCCAGTAAATGTTTTATATGCCAGCAATCATATTAGTGCTCACAATCACGCGGCGCATACACGCACGAGTAGCTGAACAAGCTGGGCTGTGTCTCGTGACTGGTGCTAACAGCCCCTTCCAAATCTTAAAACGCTTGTCCGCAGGGCTCTCGTGTACTGCAGCAAAGGTGGCTTACGCAGCTCTCTACACGTGTTAGACACAAGGTGGTTATACTAAAACTTCTGAAGTGGCAATCCCGCATACCCGCTTATGTGTCGAAGTGAAGCTGCGGTGGCCATATTGCTCAGGGCCGAAGGAGGCAGCGACTGCCTTGTAACGCCGTAATGCTCTGTGCGCTTGTGTCCGTACGTTCTGTTAAAAGCGAGGAAACGTGGGAGTGATCCGTGTTCATTAGTGAACACTCGAGCTACCACCCATTCTTGCATATTTCTGCATATATTCTCATATAAAATTACCGCCATCCAGCATCCATCAAGGACAAACAAGAGGTGGCTTACATACGGAGGACGCACACCCAAACCTAAGGAGCTCGCCCCTAAAAGGTACTCAGAGATATCAATTCGCGTTATATGTAACCAGTTGCCTCAAAGCAGTAGTATTCTGTGAGGAGATGCAGCGAAAATAAAAGTGTCGCTTGCACACAGTCATGTGCAGCATCTCTGCAAACTCTTAATTATTCTGGGGCTTATCCACCTTTTCACGGAATTGTTTTAGAAGCTCCTGAACAAACGGACAAAACGATGCAAGCTTGGAACACTTCCACTCCTTCGTCCAATATTATCTGCTCCATTAGCTGGTCATTAGAATTTCGAGAACCCTCAATACATTTTAAAAAACATCGATGATACTGCTATGACACCTTACCCTTCTTTTTCAGCTGTTAATTGTACCTCGGGGCAAAGCTCCTCTTAGTGTAACCATGACCTGCGTCAGGCGTAACCGGACAGACGGACAAACAGACAGATAGACGGACGGACGTACAGACAGACAGATTAGATCAACAGAAACACAGACAGAGGGGCGCTCAGGGCGGACTGACGCTTTGCCCCACTAATCACTCAGTGGCTATAATGTGATTTTTGCCTGTACCACTCCTTCACAGGTGAGTTTGGGGGTGGGGGTGGGGATTTCGACAACTCCTTTAATGACGAGTGTTTCAGGCCAAAGTGTTTTTTTCTCCACTTTGCAGGGGCGCTCGTTTCATTTTTTCCTACATAAAAAGAGGCATATTGCAACATTACAAATTTTGGCGTTTCGAGTGTAGTATTCATGCATATATAAAAAACTCAAAATACCAGAAACCAGAGCCAGTGCTACATTTAATACCTTTCAAAAATGAAGCACTCACTTATATTAAGCGCACTCACATACTGGCTTTTGTAAAGGTGCTGGAAACTATGCGAACACGGCAGTAATGTTACAAGCCCATCGTCTCATTGTTTACCCTGTCTCATCAAAGCCGCCTGCTTCAACATGTGTACTGAACATTAGTCCTCATTATTTATTGGCACTTAACCTTCTCGCCTCAGAGTGCACTTCCAGGTGCTGCACAATACGGCGTCTTTGGAATCCTGAAATGCACAAAAATGTTATAAAGTGCCTCTGTGCACCCGGACGCAAAAACGAAATATTTGTACACACGAATGCAGTTGTAGTCCTGAAAATATGTGAGGAAAAGCGAGCGAAGCATGCATACTTGTACATCAAAAGTTATGCCCGGTGTCGGCTTCACACAATTCGCGCAGCCAAGTGCTACTCAAGAGCCCACCATCGTCATCTCAAAAAGTGAACACACACGTCCAGAACCATGTTGTTCAATTAGAGGCACTACACGTAACATTACTAGCACGAAAACAACGCGAAAGCCACATACACTGCCATGCGCCTATCCATTTTCTCTCCCGAGCAACATGGCGGCACGCCGGATTCGGTCACGGAGCCCCTCCGCCACTTCAGAAGTTTTAGTACAGTTGAGCCCACATATGACAGCCCCACTTAAAACGAACAATATCCGCGTGACTGTGAAAATATACATTGGTTCAATGGCACAATATTGCACTTACAACGAACGTCTCGGAGCGCCGCTGATCGGTTACAGCAAACGGAGTCAGTGGTCTGCCGACTTCCCGGAAAACCAATTTCGACCACCGATCAAGCATCGGCGAAGTGCCCATACACTCTTATTGTTGAACGCCGACGTGCCTCCGCGCCCCTCAAGTTGCCGCTCTCTCCGACCGCTTTTTGTTACGCAACCCTATGTCCTTTGTCACCCCCCCCCCCCCCCCCCGCTACTCTGAGCACCCCGCATCGCCAGACGAAACCCGTGTTTTCACACTGCCACCGATTTTTCGAAGACCGGTCGGCTATCTACCCTGTTTTTGATCGCTGGTTGGCGTCACCGGCCTGGAGTGACCAGACCAATTGCCAACATCATCAGCCACCAACTGTATCCGATAGTCAGCGTCTAGTGCACACGCGTACGCTACCCCACCGACTCTGATGATTTGCGATTCGTTCCGTGTTTAGGACTTGTTCTCGCTCACTCCGCACTCGGCTCAGCATGCCTTCTGCACGCATGCGAAAGCGTGATAACAGCTGCTAATTTGCGTGGAACGAATCGCGAAATAGCGAAGTTCGTGAGGCCATGCAAACCCGCCGGCACAACAAAACGATTTTATGCTTATGGCCGCCGATTCTTTGAACACCGTCGCGCGCGCACCGATTCAGACAGCCATGCAACTCTTTTCAAGTTTTCGTACGTGCGAGTAAAAGCAAGCTACTAAAGTGGCAGAATGGAAAGCTGCCCAACCTGCCTCCTTCCAGTGTGTTTTGGTTTTCAAGGTCGACCTCCCACCGCATCCTCCCCTCTCTTTATCGCAAATCCTTGCCCTTCTCTCGCAAATCTGCTCTCCTCTCTTGATCACAACCCCTTCGCCCGTCTCCACCGCTCCGCGAGGCCCGCCACGCTGGCTCAAATTAGTTTCGTTTTCTGTCTGGAAACAGGCCCAGAGCTATTCCACGCGTTCTAGCATGTGTGTCGCGTGTGCACGTCTTGCTCGCTCGTGGTGTGCGTGTGTGATCAGGATGGCACAGACAGGAGAACTAGCACGCTTTTTTTTTCCTGCTGATCAACAAAACTTCAAAAGTGTGACCGCTTAGCTGGAGCCTAATCCGCATATTAGGTGCCGCGTTGTGGAGCGCACGCTCATAGCTGTTGACCACCTGGCACCCAACTTGCCGCTTCAGGTGTCCTAGTATTCAGCTGTGAAGATGGCGAATATTTTGTGGGCGGCGGTGACGGCTACATGTGCGCAAAACTGTTTTCTCAAGGCTGACTTCGTCGACGTCGGGCCCGATGCCGAGCCTGAAGCTTTCGAACAGGACCACTTCGGCGACGATTTGTCGCAGCGCGTCGCCGACTTCAACCTGGGAGAGCGGGTGGGATATCTGTTGCGATGATTTAGTTACGGCCGATGAAACTGCCGACACTGCGGAACCGTGCACGGATTAGGGCATTGTGAATGAAGTACGTGGCGAGAGCAATTTGGAGGAATCAGATTGTGAGAACGACAAAACTTGGGAGCCAGTGCCTCATGCAGCTTATGGCACGGGCCTCAGCGTACGAGCACTTTGCCGTTTTAAATGAACTCGAGACCGCCCTTATTGCTTCTGCCTTTCGAAACACGTGCATCACGAACTTTTTAAGCAAAAAAAAGTCTGTGTTTTCACTCGCAACTTTTTAAAAGCTGTGTTTCATTTACTACAAACTTTGGGATACAGGGAACGGATGCTGCGTCACGCTCAGGTTCGTTATAAGCGGGCTCGACTGTATAACCTTATTGGTTAGATACAAGGCCAAGAAAAAAAATTGGCAGATCCCGCGTACAGTGGGAACCGATGATATGCGAAGCACGAATGAGAAATGTTGATATTGCCACGTTCCATTTCCCAAGTTTTTGTTATCGTCCCAAAACACCACACGATTCTCAACGCAAACCGCGCCTGCAGTTTTCGAGAAGGTTCCGGACTGTAGTAGATCATTTTGATAAGATCACGCCCACTGTGCAAACGGTACAGATTGTTCTGAAACCTACGCCACCGCCAGCGATAACGCTAAAACATTCGACGGCAAGAGTATAAATGCCGACGCGCTTCGCCGCTTGTCAGTTGTTGATCGAAGGCCGACGCTCCGTTCGCCGCTATCAGTCCGAGACTGCTATCTGTGCGAGACTGCTGCTGTAATTGGACTTTCCGTTTACCGGGCACAGGTTCGCCGAAATAAACAGTTAAATCCTAACACGAAGTCTCCTGTCTTCGGCCACATCTGGTGGAGGTGCTGCTTCGTTCATGTACCGGACGCCCCCA